CATTGTTTGTTTGGTACTCAATGCACAAGCTAGAATTTGTCAGTGTTGGCTGCCTTGTGACTCACTACATTATTCCTTATGGGAAAAATTTGTTTGGTACTCATCGTTTTTTGTACTCATTGCGCTTTCCAGAACCAATTAACAATGAATACCAAGGTACTACTGTACATTCAACTTTTCTGTTTCTCCTCTCATACACAACTCTAATTTTCATAGAGCAAAGTTAGCCAAAACATGCTTTTACACAATCATTTTTGCTTCTTTTGACAAACATTCATCACTTGGAACAAATTGTATATTACCAACCACTCTTCTATGCCCATCTTTCTCCAATCATTGTCCCTATCTTTAGAAACCATTCTATTAAGGTATGCAAATTCACCTACTTGGTCTAGTTTTTACCAGGTATATATAACTTCTAACTGTCCATTTCATTTTTCCTGTCAAATATATTTACCTTGGTTTTTGATTCTTTAATTTTCAAATCTATATTCCCCTCTACATTTTACATTGTATCTAATAGTTTCTGAAAATCATTTAGGTTTCAACATCATCTGCATAGAAAAGTACATATGCATTCATATCCCCAACCAGCACATCTAAAATTCATTATAAGCATTACTTATACATTTATTCATAAATATGTTGAACAACCAAGAGAGCATTACAGATCTTTGTCTTACTGTCTGATCAATGCAATTTTTAAGCATTCCATTAATTCTCACACATGTTTTATTTCTCTCATATACTTTCATCTCATTCTGCAAGCACTTTCAATTCCACGTCCCATAATTCAGGTAATATTAATTTGATAATACTCTTTCTCTGAATCAACAAATATAGAATAAAATTTCTGTCTCCCATTGAAACATTTCTCATTGTCCAAAGTCTACACTGCCTGCCCTCTGTCCCCAATAAAACCATGCTGTTATTCCCATATTTTTCATTGCTCTCCAATGCTTCTATTCATTCTGGTTACTAACCTTGAATGAAGTCAATTTGCACTGCTATTATTACACCATCATCATGATCATATATCCTTTGTTCTTCAATATAGGATTTATATAGAGAACAGACTGGCTATTTCTGTCTGTCTGGAGTGTATTGCAATTTGGTCCAACCTGCTATTCTATTTACAGAGGAAGTCAAGATCAGCAGACGCTCCCTACCAGAAGTGAGGGAGTGACCTTAAAAGGTCACTTCCTTTTTAGTCAAAGCTCAGTGCTAGTGCCCAGTTAACCATGGATAGTTTCCTGAAGCTCTACAAAAAGAAGTTCTAAAAAAAATCTGGTAGAGATATAGGATAGAAGAGTGATGGGGTGGGATCAGATTCCTTTCAAACCTCTTACAGAAACTTCTTTCATTGTGGAATAAAGTTGCAAATCATCCTTCACATCATAGAGTTCATTTCCCAGAGTGCAAAGGGTTTGGGGAGAAGCTCTAAAAGAACCTCTAAGAGTTGTGAAAAGTGTTTTTAAGAGAAAGAAGGAAAAAAGATGCTGTTGCAACTCTATAAAAAAGAAATCAGCGCTTTAAAAAATAGTGAGCATTTCTTTCTTTGACTACGAAGGATGGGAACAAAGAATTACTTTTTTTCTTTTATTCTTAAGCAGAGGAAACTTCCAGAGTTGAGTTGTAGATGGAGAGGATAAATGCCTCGTGGAGGGCTCAGAAGGATGTTCCCCAGAAACCTTCATCTTCTCTAGCAGCATTGTTCTACTTGCCACCATGGTCCTTCAAGTCCTATAATTCTCTAGTCCTCTAGACCAGTGGTTCTCAACCTTTTTAATGCCACGACCCCCAACTGGTCATAAGTCGAGGACTATTCAACCGGTCGTAAGTCGAGGACTAATCGACTGGTGCAGCACCGTTTGCAGACTGGGACTTTTGGCAGGCTCAGCAGGGCAGAGACAGCCTGGACAATTCCTATTGGCTTTTGAAAGCCAATAGAATTAGACTCTATTCAAGAGAGTCTATTCTATTGGCTTTCAAAAGCCAATAGAATAAAAGGGAGTAGCACAGCTAAGGAAAAGGGGGAAAAAATGGCAGACTGCATTGTTTGGCGACCCCTGTGAAATGGTCGTTCGACCCCAAATGGGGTCCCGACCCACAGATTGAGAACCACTGCTCTAGACAAATAGCTTTGGGGGGAATAAAGTTTAGGACTGCTATATTATACAATTAATCAGTGGAACAACCTGCCTCCAGAAACTGCGAATGCTCCAACACTGGAAGTTTTTAAGAAGAGACTGGACAGCCATTTGTCTGAAATGGTATTTCAATGAGATTTTTCCCTTTCAAGGAATTTGCTTTCAATATTACAATTAACCATATTTGAAAATCACTGTACTTTGGAAAATTAAATTGGCTGGGATCATACAATGTATTATGTTAATAACCTGATTTATACAAAATACTAAGCTAAAACCAAAGACATAACATTAGATAAAGCAACAGAAGAAACAATTCAGATTTGTAGAAAATGAGGGAAATGTTCCTGCCAGCTGTTTAAGCTGTCTTCAGAGTTCTTAGGATGGTCTGTAGGAAATATAGACTAACAAAGATTTGACCAGTCTCAAAACTGAATTTCATTAATGGAAATATGGCGTATTGGTCCCTTAAGGTAGATTGAACGGAAATATTAAACCAAATAAACTTGCAGGTATAAGAAAAGAGGTGTCTCTTCCTTATCTAATTACGTTTAATGAGGAATATTTATGAATGTTGCAATAAATGCTTGTTCACCAAATGATGCTTTGATCTGTCTTCTTTGTCTATACCAGTGTTTCCCAAACTTGACAATTTTAAGGCATGAGGACTTCAACTCCCAGAATTCCACAGCCAGCAACGCTGGCTGTGGAATTCTGGGAGTTGAAGTCCACATGCCTTAAAATTGTCAAGTTTGGGAAACACTGGTCTATACTATAAACTATACTTAGCAGGTGGGGAAAATACCATGATCACTGCTATATCTGTTACTCCTGTGTTACAGCTGGAGTAAACAAACTGAACCAAGCTGAACCTGCATTATTTTAAATTTGCATATTTTGCCCAATTAAGTTAGATTATGTACTGATGGAGACTAGAGTATAATGAAAGTGTAAGCTATGAATCAAAAAATTTGTGGTTCCAATTCAAGATATGAATTTACTCAATAGCATTCGGGAGATAGCTGTAAGTCCTCCAGTCTAATACACTGCTATAGTATATGAAATAACACTCTGTTATGGAGTGCAATGCTGAAGAAATGCTAAGTCTGAGTATAGAATTCAAAGGGATTGCACTGACATAAAGTAACCTTCAGTAGTAGTTGAGCTAAGAACATATTCACACAGGAACTAAGATTGGTCAGTTCTTGATGACTGATTATCTACTTAGACTGAAAGTCCTTAGAATGATCATTACTGCCAGTAGCAGTTAATTCTTATTCATGATAAAACTCACTGTGGTCATTAATGGATTAAGATACAGTTGTGAATAGATTTTCACCTGAAGTACTTCTACCACAGAACTGGTGGAACCCCATTAAGAAAATCTAAATACATTTACATTGCATTACATTACATTGTTGTTCTCACTACAGGGCTAATGCCATGGATAAGTATCACTGCTTTTAAATCTATAGGAATTTACTGGATTACCAGAAAAGAAAATTGGAGAGACACTTCTTTTACTTGTATTATTATAATAAGAATATTCTATTTCACTCGTTCACACATGTTAATGTATTGAGACTGAAACCAAAAGTTTTCTGCTCCATGATCATAATAAAAGCTTTTGATTTTTTTGAAACTTAATAAGAGCCTCATATTAGAATTAATTGATGAGTCAACAGTTTCTTCCGTGGTCAATTAAACATTGTAAGTTAAATAATACTGGGCATGGCTAAAGGCATGTGAATATTTTAAATAACTTTTAGTAAATAAAAGCTACTACTGATTGCTTCAAAGAAAGCTAATTGTTCATAATTTTAAAAGTCCTGGTTGTTTTGGCATAATAGTCAAAACAGATTTAAAATGGAGAAATATTCCTTGTATGCAGAGAATCATTGGTTAAAGTTGGTTCTTGTTCTTTAAAATTGGTTCACATAGTTTAATCAAAGTTCAGTTGATCAAACTACAAATTAATCTCATTAAATATTACATCCCAGTGCACACTGATCTAGTTTTATAAAAGGCTTAATGAGAATTTGGTGTGTAACAGACTCTGGAAAAATATTTTAAAGATGACTTCAGGTAGGACATGCTGAATAAAGCCAACACTGATTAACTTGTGTTGAACAATTCACAGATCTGATTCAATCAAATCCACACACGCAAAAAAAAATAAATTTCATTGTCTAGCCTCTACTCCCTCTACTACTTTATATATTACAATTTTTGTATTACTCTGAATTTTGGAAAATAAAAAAATAAACAGTACAATGCTTACATGAATCCCTCCCCCAATTAAACTGATAATGCAAGAAGAAATTGAGATACTGCCCAGTTCTCATATTAAAACAATTATAAAACAGGTGTTTAACCATGTTGTAATTTCATGAAGTATTGACATAAATTAATATTGCTATTTGAAAAGTCCAAAGCCCCCAACATTGTCATTTTTAGACGGTACTAGAGTCTCATCTTTCTTCCACCCTACTCTTGTTTGAAATTGTAGTAGTCATGGATATCAGAATAGAATAAAACAATATTCTCAAAATGGAGAGAGTAACATAATAACTCAAAAGATTTATTCTTGTTCAAGCACTCTGCTTTCTGGATACATTGAGTCATAATTTTCCAACGAATTATTTTGTCTACACACATACTTTTTTTGTTGCCTGTTTGTTTTTAAGAAAATCGATTAAAATTAATTTTAAAATTAAAATTACTCCCCTCCCGCCCCCCAAAAATACCTGGAAAGACTTTTGTACTGGGAATTAAATATCAAAGAGAGCAATAAAGACCAGAACATGCAGCTCCATATAACTTTCTCCAGACTATAATATTTTTTTTTACCTTCGTCTCTTTTGCGTTTGTTGCTTTCAGCGCTGGGAGACGTAATTCCCAGAATTCCACTAATAGAGTAGGAGGAGCCTGCTGAGTCTGTGCTTACTGAAGACACCTGCGTCACAGAGCCTGTGGAGGCTGTAATTAGAAACAAATTAATCAATAAACAAGTCACTATAAAAAGTATGCAAGCTTCAACATCCTGCAATCATCTCTTTAATGAAATTTAAGGAGGGAAAGGGAAGTATCTGTGTGTGTGTGTGTGTGTGTGTGTGTGTGTGTGTGTGTGTGTGTGTGTGAGAGAGAGAGAGAGAGAGAGAGAGAGACTGTTTATGGTCACTCAAATGTCAGTTTCCTATCCAGTCTCTGTTAACAGTTCTAGATAGTGTAAATGGGTACACGCTTTTATGGGCACTGCAAAAATAATTCATTTTATCAGCGGCTGAAAAATCTGGAATTTTGCTCCTGGACGATGTCAAATAGAGAAAGAAGGCCTTGGAACAAATGATGGAAAACTTAGATTTAGTATTTTGGACCATTTATGATGTAGTAGTTAGTTTATAAAGGTTCAAAATATTTCCTAAGCATCATAACATATATCATACCATACAACCACCTTCTAACTTAGAGTAGTGGAAAATTGTAATGGGAAATTGTTTCCTAAAAGCAGACCATGAGGTTATGGCTAAGTCAAATTATGAATCCAAGTTATGAATTTTCAGCTCGCTTTTAACTTATGCCCTCCTCTAGCTCACAAAAAAATGATAATTGTAATTTTTTTCCCCAGGAGAGCATATACAAGGCCATTTGCTTGCAATAAATTAGTCTGAAAAGGAATGTAGTTAGAGCTTGGGGCAACATAATAACACACAATAATAAAGGATTTAAACTTAATTTTCAGTCTAGATGTTGACTAAGATAGACCAAAGGAAACTACTTCTAGGATACTTGCAGTCTAATGAGAAAGAGGGTTGTAGTAACAATTGTTGCTGCCTTTGCATTTTATGTTTAGAATAAAAGAAAATGACGCTCTGGGTCTTGTGTATAACAGAATCTCTTGGTCTGCAAACAGCATTTCTAACTAATGCAAAATATATATAAATAACTAACATTATTTTGCCCTTCAATAATACCCAAAATCTTCCCTGCTGGAATAGACAACTCAGTCTGCCAAATGATACAACTGGCTTGGTTCACTACTGAGATAATTTGATTTGGTTGGAAATCTTGGAGCAAAATACACACTGAAATTGGAATTAAGTATGCAGAGTGCATATCGATGCCATCCATTGTTGGTTTTATGGCTAATAAAGATCCAGTTTAATTTATTTAAGAGGTTATATGTATTCTATGTAATTAGACTTCACAAATTCAGAAGTCAAACACGATACAAAAATCAGGAACCTTGGTTAAGTGATTTCTCTGCCTGCTCTATTCCCCTCTAAGCATATTCACAAAAAGCATCACCTACAACATTCAGTAGCTTCCCTTCTAGAGAAGCCTTAGAGCAGGGGAGTCAAACTGCTGGCCTGCAGGCCAGTTGCATCATGCAGAGGCTGTGCCCAGCTCCAGCAATGCAAAAAAAGTTGCGATATGTTGCAGCACATCATGTGACGCGGCAAGTTGGACACCCGTGCCTTAGAGAGGTTCAGCAAAGGAGGCAGAAAGGGCACATCAGATGGATTAGACTGCTTTCTGCTGAAGGCATGGAGTGGTGAAACACACATTTATTTAATTTTTAAATATTACTTATTTAAATAATTTGCATGTCTATCCAACCTGAACAATGTGACTTTAGGCCAGGGGTCTTCAAACTTGGCCCTTTTATGACTTGTGGACTTCAACTCCCAGAATTCCTCAGCCAGGCAGGCTGGATGAGGAATTCTGGGAGTTGAAGTCCAAAAGTCATAAAAGGGCCAAGTTTGAAGACCTCTGCTTTAGGCAGCTTACAGAAACATCCAAAAACAATATGTCTGATAAAGTCATTAACAGGCAATTTAGCTCATATTCATACCCTCTCCTGTTGGGCACTACTCCTTCCAACCCCCAAACTCAAAAGGGAACACATGAAGGGCATGAATAGGCTATCACTGCAGTGTAGGATATTCACGAAAGACCCTAAAACTGAACTGAAGTGAGAGGGACAATTACAAATTAATAGATAGAGAATTTCTTCTGTACGTACCCATCCATATCTTGAGCTGAAATAACTGGAATTAAATCCATTCAGTCTCAAGTAAAATCAAGCAGAATGAATTTCCCTTTGACCTGTTTCAAAGCTCTATATTTAAAACAATGCATGCAATTTAATAAACTTGTTTTTAATAATCCAAATAAAATTTACTAAAATTCATTTCTCTCAAAAGTTTCACAGAGGGAATTTTTGTAAAATTAAGGTGTCTGTAGTAATCTATTTTAAAAATGAGTTCAGTTGAAGTATTTTGATTCCTCTTTGGTTCTTCAGCAAGAGCATATCGGCTTGAATATATTATGTTAGTAACTTTAAATTAGCTGAATTTATTTTAAGCATTTCTTTTTCTGTGTTAGAGTCCCTGCCAAAAAAACCCCACTATAAAGTCTATTACTTTTCAATGACTAGCATTTGATGGCATGCATCTGAATTAGGTAAAAAGAGAGAGAGCGAGAGAGCAAAATAAAGTTTTCAAAGTTTTGCTACCTCTTCACTCAAAATTGCAAGTGCACAAAGAATTATGGAAGTCTTGGTTGAAAGAAGAAAAAAACACATTCAAAACTACTTACTGACTAATGATGCAGAAAATGTTATGAAGAACTATCCTTTTCTTGATTTATTACTTTAATTATCTGACATTCTATAGACCCCCATTAGTAGGATGGGTTTTTTTTTTTTTTGGTTTAGATTTCAATTTTCTGTCTCATGGTGAAAGCTATTTATCATAATAATCAGTAAAATTCAAAACCTTTTAGCAGTATTTATAAAATTCATTTACCACGTTCAGCCCTTGGAGAATGATAAAGAAGGTGCATTAGTACGTGTGCTGAACTGTTTTATGCAGAATTTTCTGGCCATAAGAGTGATTAAAAGTTCCTTAGAATGAATACATACACACCACATACACGCACAATTTCCATTACCTATGCTATGACTTGAGGCTGGGACTTGCTGGTTAGGTGGTTGCTGCACTTTTGTCCGAATAATCCTGCATAATAGACAAATTCCTACTTACAATTATATAAATAACAACAGAGAACAAATTATTGATGCAACATAATTAACAATAATGAATGTCCAAGCAAATTATTCCAGTTCATTACTAGGGTATATCCCAGAGAACTTTATAGTGAACGTCTGAAAATTTTGCTGAAAGAGAGTTTAAAAAAGAGATGATATTCACAAAATTAATCTTGTACTGAACACATTCTCAGAAAGATAGCAACATTCAGAAAGGTTTGGACAGTCAGAATAATGTACGTATTATTACCCCATCAAGAGGGGCTGAAAGAGTGACAATTTAGTAAGTGGACCAACATCAAATAAAGCAGGGGTCTTCAAACTTGGCCCTTTTATGACTTGTGGACTTCAACTCCCAGAATTCCTCAGCCAGCCATGCTGGCTGAGGAATTCTGGGAGCTGAAGTCCACAAGTCATAAAAGGGCCAAGTTTGAAGACCCCTGAAATAAATTATAAACAATAATTTGATTTCAACAATCAATACCTCCATTCCCGCAAATGTTCTCCCTCCATCCTTGATCCAAAAAAGAAAGCTGTATTTAAATCTCATAGATATTAATCAGATTTCAACTAATTATTATTACCACTAATAATCACCATGCCTTTGGCTTCGTGAAACTTAATTATGACTAATTTTATCAAGACTAAGGCAACTGAAATTATTGAATTAGATTTATTAATCTAAAATTAAGACAAAGGAAGCAGGGCCATCCATAGAGAAGGGGTCAAAATCTGCAAGATGACAGGTCCACTGTGATCCAAGTACAGTCTCTTTTGTCCATGGGTGCAACTTTGCTACAATTGTCACCTTGCATATTTTGAGCAGCCCTGCAGATATTGGTGAAGGGAACCCTTATTATCATTAACCAGGTACTTGGTTTTGATTTCCTTGCTTCTGGCCCCATTGACTGGTCACAAAAATGCCCCAAACATTAACATTATTTCAAATAAAGATTTTTATGCCATTTATTTAAACCTAGTCCTAGACTATTCCTACATTCAACAAATGTATGTTAACCAGCACAAACTATAACTTGAATTATTGACACATTTGCAACAATAAGTATACATTTTTTTTAAAAAAAAAGTATTGGTTTAATGTATATTTGGATGGGGAAAATACTATTGTGGAATAAATCAGGACATCTACTCTAGGACATCTACAGAGTAAGTAGATGTAGTAAGAAGAGCTAAAACAAGAGATCTACAGTATATGTAAATGGTGAGCTTGTCACTGATTTCAATAAGAACAAACTAATATACTAATATTGACTACCTGAAGTGCTGCCTTCCTAGGTATAAACTTACCCAGTTATCTAGATCAGAAGAAGGCCTGAAGAAGTTGTCATTGCTGCCAGAACTTCTCATAAAAGAAAAGAGCCTTTTCATTTATGCAGCTTCCAATTTAGGGAGGTGCATTTCACCACCCCTTCCACCATCCTAGTTGCTAACTGATTGTAATTTTATTGTCTCTAAGGTTGAAGTTTTTATAAGTGTTTATATAAGCAGATAGCCATGATACAAATTCAACATTTTAAATGAATAAAGTTGTCACTCTACTAACCTTATATTAATTGCCATAATTCTATACATTCTATACAATTCTATTCTATAGCATACTATTCTATTCTACACATCCATGCATATAATATGTATGTGCTCCAGTTTAATTTATTCTTATTTGTTAATTTTTTTAGACTTAGAATATTCAAAAATATAATCCCCTTTTATATACAACCCAGAAAACAGCCAAAGAAATGTTAGGCTGATCCTGTAACTCAATTTGAAATTTTAACTGGAAACAGTTTACAATACAGTATGTCTAAGCTTTCATCCTGAAATAGATGATGGGATGATAATCATGAGGATCATGAGGATATCAATATTTTAATAAAGTAATTGAAAAATTATTACGACAAATTATCTATTTTCCCAGGTTTGCACGATTCACCAGTCTATGAACAACAATGATTATGTGCTTTTTTTAGCAGAGGACCCACATAAGTTTATTTTCCCAAATATATAGTTTAAAGCTATGTATTTAAAACAAAATCTAGAAGCAAGTTTTTCATTTAGCGTTATGCAGTAATTGTTTGCCAAGCAAACTATTCTTGAAAAGGCTCATGGATGGTGAATTCATGCTTAGTAGTTTTAACACCTTATGGAAAAAATAGTGGGGAATTAAGTCACAAACTAAGCCATGATTCAACTTGTTAAAATCCCTCAGACTTTTCTTAACCTGTAATAAGGATAATATAGAACAATGTCACAATAAGTAAGTATATAATAAACCTACAAAAATAGATTTTTTAATAGTGCTAAGTTTGGGTAAAGGAAAATATCTGAGGGGTCCTCTGTGCTCTCTGAGTTTGGTTGTTTTCTTGAAGACATGTCATTATATCATCAGTGTATCATTAGCACTGATGATGTTACCTAATTTGGGTAATGAAAACAAGAAAACAACCAAGCTCAGAAAGCACCAAGGACCCTTTGGTGTTTAATTTCTTTATTGAAAGTTTAACATTACACAACTTTTTACAGACTACCTCACATTCACAAGCATACTTGGACACCATCCTAATTTCAAACCATCCAGTTCTCCAATTCTTACGATTTAAAAAAAAAACCACAATCATTCCACTAAATGACCTTATGGATATTCAGATATATAGGCAATTTCTGGTGAATGTTCAGAGATACAGTACATAAGATGAACTCACACAGAGTGAGAAATGACTGGATAAATAAGCCTCTATATTCTGTGATCTTGCATAAGTCATTGATAACACTCTGCCCACTCTCTTGCCAATCTACACATCCATGCCCAGATGAGGGTAAAAATAGAACAAAAAACAATAAAGGCACTAAAGCTAGAGGACAGCCATTTCATGCCTGGTTTCCAGACTTCAATTTCCAACCACAATGTCCAGCTCCACAAAGCCCATTGATCCAAAATCAAACAACAATATTATTGTTCAGATGGTATATGAATTGTCTGTGACCTTTGTCCATTTATTTATGTCCCTCCACTTATCAAGTCCGAACTATAAAGCATTCATTCGCTAGAGGTGATTTCAAGATTAGTTGCCATCCAGAAAACATTTCTTTTCCTTTCCTCACTAAACCAAGAATATAAGCAATGCCTGCAATGTGTTTTATCAAAACAACTGGAATAAAATCAGGATCCTGCTGTGAATACGCAAACCCAGAGGAAAGAACTGAAAAGCAATCAACTTACTTACAACACTATGATTCCAGGTATATGACTTAGACGATGCCTTTGATTTTATTGGGTTTTAACTGCCACACGATATATGAAATCAATGTTAAGATTAGCTACTCATGAACACAGTTATCTTTAATTAGAGCAGGGGTGTCAAACTGCCGGCCATGGGCCAGTTGCATTATATGGAGAATGCGCCCACCCCAGCTCAGGCAATGCAAAAAACGTCGCGATACGTCACGACACACCACGTGACGTGGAGAGCTTGACACCTATGAATTAGGTGGGCCTGAAAGTTTCTGTGAGCTATGGAAATTCTCTTCCTCCCATCTGACCTTAAAGAACCCTTTCCTTGCTGTTCTGACTGATCCCTCACCTCTTTAGAGCAGATCTGTAGGAGGGAAAACATTTCAGAAAAATAATTGGTGAAAATCACTTTTCCCCCTTTGATACTTCATCAGCATTCATATACCTGGTTCCCAGACACTGATCTTTAAAGATATATGATCCAACTGTATACAGTATTTACACTATATAATTTGCAAACATGGATGTGATGCCGTTTGTTCCTGGTACCTAGTTCTGGATGGGATTGCACTGTTCCTGGACTTGCAACTCCCACTCAAAAAGCAGGTGGCAATCATGGCCAGGAAAGCCTTTGTGCAACTTCATCTTATGTACCAGTTCCTTCTTTCCTGAATCAGGAGTTCCTGCCCTACATCACTCAAATCCTGATCATCTCATACTTGGACTATTGCAATGCATTCTACAAGGGGCTACCTTTAAAGAGAATTAGGAAGTTACAACTGGTGCAGAATGAAGCCACATAGGCATTTCTTGGGTCCCCTAGGACAGAGCTCCCCAACATTTCTGGATAGGTGGCCCGGAGGGGAAAGGAGGAGCAGAGAAATGTGTGCACACATGCCCCCGTGTGCGCATTCACAAACGGGCTGCTAACACCTGCATGGCAGCGCTAGTGTGAGTGGGGGGATGCACACCAGCCATTCCTGTGGCCCAGTGGCCAACAGACTGAGGCCCAGTACCAGGCCATGGCCTATAGGTTGGGAACCCCTGCCCTAGGGTGGCCCATTTTAGACCGTTCTTGTGTGAACTGCACTGGTTGCCAGTTTGCTTCCCAGTCCAATTCAAGGTGTTGACTCTTACCTTTATAGTGTTTCATGGCATGGGTCCAGGTTATCTGATGTGCCATCTCACCCCCTGTGGGACTGGCCTGCCCCACCCGGGCCAGCAGAAGGGTCATGCTGCAGATTCCATCAGTCAAGGAATTTTGGTGGGCAGGGTCCAGGAAGAGTTTTTCTGCTGTGGCTCCCACCCTCTGGAACATCATGTTCCTTGAGGTAAGATTCACAGCTTTTGGCTTTCCAAAAGGATCCAAAGACATCAATCTGCCAACTGGTTTGGGGCACCGATGGGGTTGGGTGATTCTGGAGGTGGTTAATGGACTAAGATAAAATTCCATCTCCTCCCTGTGTTATTCTTGCTCCCTTTCCTCCCATCTTTATTAATTTTTAACTCAAAGTTAGGGTTAATATTTGTTGTTTTAATCTTTTAAATATTTTATCTTATTGTTTTGTATTGATTGTAAACCGTCTAGAGTTGCCTCGCGAATTGTCTCTGTGTGAGATGAAATTTAAATTTAGTAAATAATAAGTAAGAAAAATAATAAGAAAGGCAAAAAAAAAAAGAATAGTGGATAGTGGTGATATCTGGAGGCAGCAAGAGAAGAGAAGGAATTGGAGAAGATAACAAGATGCAAGTCCTGCAAATAAAAATAGAACAAATTTGGCAAAAGAAAGCAGAGATGGTACCAATAGTAATAGGGGGCATGGGTCCAACTTCAAAATAACTAGAGCACCACTTGAACACCATCAGTATTGACAAAATCACCATCAGTCAATTGTAAAAGGCAGTTTTACTCTGAATAGCTTACATCATGCAACAATATCTTTAACACCATCAAACATCCACCTCTGCCTATCCCAAGTCAAACTCAAAAGGGGGACAAAAGTGCCCAAAACATCTGGCTGACTGTGCAAATAATAATAATAATAATAATAATAATAATAATAATAATAATAATAATAATAGTAATAATAATAATTAGAGAAAGTCATAGAAAATGATAAAATTAAACTGCTCTGGGACTTCAGAATTCAAACAGACAAGCACCTGCAACATAACACCCTGGACTTAACAATTGTCAATAAGAAAGACAAAAAAGTCTGGGTGGTGGATGTGGCAGTGCCTGGAGAAAGCAGAATAGACGGGAAAGAACTGGAGAAGATAACAACATACAAATAGAAACAGAAAAACTGTGGCAAAAGCAAGCAAGGGTAGTACCAATAGTCATAGGCGCCTTGGGTGCAATCCCAAAACAACTGGAGCACCACTTGAACACCATTGGCATTGACAAATTCGCTATTAGTCAATTGCAAAAGGCGGCCTTATTAGGAACTGCTTCCATCCTGCGATGATATCTGTAATACCATCAAACATTCACATCTGCCTATCCCGGGTCCTGGGTAAGGACTCGATAGGTAGACAAAATGCCAAATCCAGTCTGAACATCTGGCTGACTGTGCGATGATCAATAATAATAATAATAATAATAATATGGGTGCAGAGAACATATCTGGAACAATGTCCACTGTGCAAGCTAAGCAGATCAAGTTCTATAATTTGCCTGGATCACACAGCAGCCATAACCATCACTTTGTATGCATTGATCCATAATAAAACCATGTGTCTATAAAAAGAATAAATATTTATCTTTTCTTCATTGTCTTGTTATTTTATACTCCCCGTTCAATGCCTATCACTTTTTTTTTAGATTTCTTTTAGTTTTAGATTACAAAATACTTGCAGCAGAGATTTCTCTAATTCAAAAATAAAGATATCTTCAAATGCAACTCAGTTCCTGGGGACAACATAGATTTATTCTATAAAAGGGAAAAGGAGTAGTGAAGGAGAAGAATATAAAATCAATTACTTAAAGCACCTGGTGTAAATTAAAATTAAGATAACTCTTATATCAGCATGAGATCTTTATAAACAAGAGAAGGAATTTGTTGCTTGAAATGTTTTTTTGTTAACAGCTTCCATAAAGGCCAGGTAACAGAATGAAAAGCATTTATGATTTCTTTAAAATTAGCCTCATTGAATTCAGCAAAAAATTCTGTGTAGTTATATACTACATTCTTCATAAAAGTGGCATGACTATTGCTGAACACAGAGCTAGTTCCTTGATTTGTAGTGAGTGTAAGACACAAATGTTTTTTTAAGACAACACGAACTGAAGTGAATTAATCAAAGGCCAAGAATATTTGAACTTCTTCCAATTACATCATATTGATATTAATATGACTAAGCTAGTTTTAGCTCATGAACATTTTTAATTAGATTGTAGGTCAAAGCTGTTAATTTACCTTTCAGTCTTACCTAAGTATATCTTACAATGTTATTTGATTTGGTGATATAAAATTTCCTAAATAATAATATATAGGTCGGATAGCAACAATGTTATTGATTTGTGTAGCTGGTCACTGCAGAACCATTTCTTTGGCCCATAATAATCCTATAATATTTGTAGCAGAAAAGAAAGTAAATCTAATAACTGGTTCAAAATTCATCAAAAATGCAGATAGCTAGAATTTCTATTTTAGCCGCTATGATTAATTATTGTGCTTTCACTTCATTTAGAAAAGAAATCAACTTTAATGTTTTAATAGCACTTCAAATAATCATTCCCCTCACAAAAAAGCTGATTGCACATATTTTTCATTAAAATTAATGAAATATGTTAAGTTGCAGGTATCCTTCTTAATTTTAATCCAAATTTAAACAAATGTTCTTCATATTATAAATATACATGAAGCCATGTAATTTAACTGCAAAATACTTAGTTGTTTAAATACAATTTGACAGTCCACTGAAAAATTGACATTCTTCATTTTAGTACAGTGAACATTTTTCTTAATCTCTTATGATTGTGAATATTTTACTATTAAAATGCTAAATGTTTTGTGGCATTCCCAAAATGTTTGGATCTATAAACAGAAATATAACATTTGCATAAAACTTTGTTTCATGTTGATTTGTACAAATGGAATTATATTATTAATTAATATTGAAAATATAAACATGAGATTAATAGAAATTATTAGGGCTATGCAGTAATTCAGAAAAATCTGGAAAGGGGCAGTGAACACAACGATGTACAACTTGAGCAGCTGTGCCTTTTCCTGGGACCATGTAGTTGGCCTCTGCAGCTGTTTTAAACAGTTGAAAACAGCTACGATATATTCATTTCTAGAACATTCCAAGGCACCTTTCTGGAATCAAAGCTAAATCATGACAAAGTCCTTGAATGTTACTCTTGTTATATACTGTTGTTTTATATATGTTTGTGTGTGTGCGTGCATGTATAACAACAGTAACAATCATGCTTAACAGTAATCAATATATAGCATGCCTAAAAAGTCTGCCTGATGGACATGGTAAGATTCTTTGGTATCATATTAAGGTTTTATTTCTGGCCATAATAAAAGTGACTAGGATAAAGATAGAAATTTCTATTATATTATATTTACTACAGTATATGTTTGCCTTTTGCAAGGCCCTGGGTTGGAGTCTGTAAAATACATTTGTTGAAGTTTTTCTATTTATATCTGTATTGATATTTTTTTAAAGAAAAAAATCTCAGCTGCCAATTTATTTTGTAGTTTCTGTTTTTTTTGTTTTTTTGTTTTTTTTTGATGTTGTTAGCCACCCAGAATCACTTCTTTGAGATGGGTAGCCATTAAATTGAACGAATACATATCAATAAATACATAAATAAGTTTGACTTACTTACTATAACATTTTATTTATTTATTTAATTTTATTTATATGCCGCCCAATCACTCAGGGGCGGCGTACAAAATTAAAACAATCATCTAACAATAATACAATAAAATAATACAATCATACCGCAAGTCCGATCATATCCTGCCCCCCCCCCCGCGGACATCAGCCCCAGGCCTGCCGGAACAGGAGAGTTTTAACGGCTTTCTTAAAGGCCGGCAGGGTGGGAGTAGTTCGAACCTCGGGGGGAAGTTGATTCCACCAGGTAGGAGCCACCACAGAAAAGGCCCTTCCCCGAGGGTCCACCAGCCGACATTGTCTGGCCGACGGGACCTGAAGGAGGCCCAACCTATGGGACCTCACCGGTCTCTGGGAACTGTGCGGCAGTATGCGGTCCTGTAAGTAACCTGGCCCTATGCCATGAAGGGCTTTAAAGGTGATAACCAACACCTTGAATTGCGTCCGGAGAACTACCTACAATATCTCAGGAAATGTTGAGATGTACTATCAAATTGCAAGAGAAGCTATCAAAATTAGCTTGAATTCCTATCAGACTGGGAATTCCAGCTTGAATTATGCTGCATATCTTAATATAGAACGCTTTTCTTAATAGTGTTTTCTTAATGTTTCAGTAATTAATATCACAAACACACCAGATAACAAATTCACAGCAAACTACTTTTGATCAAAATGTGAATTTAAATAGAGCTAACAGGGAATAAATAGATTGAGGATCACATCCAAAGGATATTTCAGCTTTTATGGAACATGTATCTGTGATGTGATGAATTACAATTGCGGGCATTAGGATGATGGGGTGAGTATTTTAAATGTTGTAAGTCACTCAGAGTCACTTATGTGTGAATTGGGTGGCTATATAAATTCGTTTAATAAATAAATACTATAATAAATGACCAACGTTCCTTGAAAAAGCAAGAAGTACACATATTTGTAAGTATAACTAGTTTTGGCATCAGACAAGTTCAAATCACTAAACCTCCATAATACACAGTTCTACTCTAACAACATGCTGTATATTAGAATGGCAAACTATTTTCCAAAATTAACCTAAAATCTGATAGATTCTGTCATGTTCTCATCATATGCTAAATAATAATAAATTTCATAGATTCATTATACCAGTCAAGAAACTGAATTCACCAGTTCCAGCCTAGATTATCCACTTTTGTTTCTATTATCAGATAAATTATTGATTTCCTTTCATTACAGTGGTAATAAAGACGCAGGAAAATCTAGACTATCTGATCTTTCCCCTAGTTTATTTCTTGCTCATTTCTTAATTGTACTAATTTTGGACTAACTTCATTACATGACATATTAATGCTGTCATCTTCTCCTGAGAATTCAAATGTCAAAGTGTCAGTCTATAGAAGCACCAAAAAAAAAAAAAAATAGCAAATCTGGACAAATGTTGTAAACACTTTGGTTAATCTTATCTCTGTGTGTATGAGTATGTATTATTTCTACTACTGCTACCATCCCATATTAGAGATTATTTCTGTTTGGCTCAGTGAAGCAAACTTAGATGAAAACTAAACGGATTGGTACAAAACAGATTTTTGCATCTAGGAAAAAACAGCCATGCAAATAACCAAAATAATCCTGTGTCATTTTTCAGATAATAATGAACACTGCCAAAAAGCATCTCTACTGTGCAGCCTAAGAGACTTACCTGTTAATTGAACTAACGCTGGGCACTGTGTCATTATCACACACTCTTTCTGCTAAAAGTCTGTCCCTGATCTCCCAAGCAAACATGGTGGGGTTTTGGCGTTTATATTCTGCAATTTTTTCTACTACTTTGGGCGTGGCAACCTTTGGCTTTGATCCTCCAATAACTCCAGGCTTAATGCTTCCAGTCTCATAATACCTGGGGTGAAATGCAGAAGAAAGAAAAAGTTAGGTTTAGAAAGCATTCTAATTATAAGCTCTCCTCCCACATCCAATAAATGATAAGAAGTTAAGAGCGGCACAAATTAGGTTCTAGCATTTTCAGTAGGAATATATTAACCCATCTTTACTGTATTACAATCCCTGATACTAATATATTCTTTCCTTCTCTTAGATTTGACATTATATGTTATTTAAAGGTAATAACTATAATAATGTTGCATGCATTTTTTTTGCCAGCAATTAAAACTGCACGAGTTAAAAGGTCACGCTTGAATTTAAAATAATCTCAAAAACTGTATTATTAATCTGTAACAAAACTAAATCAAACCAATATTTCGACAGTGCTGTGTTTATAGGAAATTGTCAAAGACATGATACAGCCATAAAGTGTTAAAATAGCATCATGAAAAAAAATGCATGAACCTAGTGACTATGGGATACTGCAATGGTCATAAATCATTTTTTTCTCTGCCACTGTAAATTCGAACAGCCATTAAACAAACTTGTAAGTGGAGAATTATGTATATACAATAGTGACTGAATTTCAGTATACACTTTGTGGAATGAATTTTCACCTCTATTGTTAGAGATTAATCTTTTTTTGCTTGTACTATCTATCTGAGGTCTAATAAGTTGTTAAACAAAAAAGCAGAATACTGAAATGAAAGTCGACTACAGTCTTTCCTGAATGGTCCCCTCCAAATATGTTGCATTTGATCTCCATTTGGTTTGGCCTATTCACTGGGAATTCTGGAATTGAAATCCAATATATCTGAACCTCATCTTTTTGGGGGAACAATTATCCAAAAAATGTAAGGTTTGTGCAGAATCCTAAGGAAAAGGTTCCCATTCAATATCCCTGCTATTTCCATTAGCTTTTTAAAGAAATGGCCTGTTGTTCGGTTATAGTTTTAGTGTTTATACCTAATAAGAATTATTAATTTATTAATTCAATTAATCAATTGTTAGGGCTTGTCAGTTGCCAAGATACTCAAGGCAGCCCTTGAATAAGAAATAAGAACTTTTAGATGCCTTTAGAGAATAATTTTCCTGCTTTGACTTTAATCTTGTTGAACTAAAAAAAGTTCATTTTAAACCAATGTATTCTCTTCAAACCCAATAGAAGTCAATCAGATTTAATGCAGGCATTTTTCATATCACTCCAGATTTATGAAATGGAACTTTTAAAATATAAAATGTTTCATTTCCTGCCGTAGGTTTTGCTGATTAATAACATATTGTTGCATCTCAGTTTTGGTCACATTTGGCACTATGAGAATTCTGGAAACAGTTGACAATGTTTAAGAGCTAGGTACCATTTTAGAATGACATTAGACATTATCTTTTAAGGCACCTCAGAATTATTAAACTATATTCTCACTCTTGGGGTGCTGAAAGTGAGAAAAATTGGTTGCCAAAAGAAAGTGAGTTAAACCAGAGATGGAATGTGTCTTAACTGGTCTGACATTTTGTTGCCTGGGTATACAGCAAGTAGCATCACCCATGCAGGAAAACAAGGTACATGATACCCAAAGTCAGTCAAATTGCACCATTAGCATGAGGCAGAAAATCCATAAACATCTCTCCCCAACGGCAGCAGTAAAAATACAATAATAGCAGATTAATAACAATTGGCCCTCTTTGTGATACTTGACTTTTGGTCCTTAAATTGGCTGCTTTAAGGAACTCAGTGACAGGCAGGCCTATTTAAACCATTAGCCAGTGCTGTTACACTACTGAAAGGAAGACGGTTTGGACCTGATCTGAGATCAGCCATTAACAATGCATTACATTGTTTTTAAAAATTTAAGTAAATGAGATCAGATCATTGGGGTTTGATTTTTTTTTTTTTTATCCTAATGTCATGATACCAGTCTTGCCTTGGAGCAAGTAATGATTAATATTTACTTTGTGCATGACAAGAATACAAACTGAACTCTTTGACAAATGAATATACAGTTGAAGAAAACTATAGCTTTCCAATCCTGGCTTGACCATAAAAATGACAAAATAGGCTTGTATTCAGATTGTGGTTACTTCTGGAATTCATCATGCTGTCCATTTACATGTACCTTCTATGATAATATTCTCAAGCACTACTGACCACAGATTCATAACTCTTATCAAATTATTAATGTGATATAGTTTATATTTCCAACTATTTCTTTTGCACCATGGTTAAATTTCAAAGTTGTAAATTAAAAAATATTAGTTCCCAAGATGGAATCCAACTTCATATATGTCTGGCTTCTCTTATTTTTTTAGATGCACACATAGAGAAGAAAAGAGTGTCTTCCAATTATACTGACATTTTATGAACTGTAATTATTACTTATGAAAATAATGAGCTATGAAATTTCAATTTGACAACTTAAGTGACAAAGCTCCAGAACCTGATTCTTAATTCCAGAATAATGAATATACCTCTAAAGACAAATCTATTCTGAAACATTGAAACTATTACGTGTTCTTTCTGACCTGTTTATTTGTTTCAGTCATTGATACCAATAAAAATGGTTATCTAGTCTTCCGAAAGAATTGAAGAAAGGATAATAAAGCAGGATAGCACAAAACCAACTGCTGCCATTAAGAAATAGGACTTAACATTCCAGAAACATTAATGTTCTGGTCTACTATAAAAAATAAAATATATGAAAATGTAATTGTACAATACTGCTGACATTCATTTTCATTGTATTTACCAGCTTGCCTCTTTTAAGAAATATAAATTGCATTGCAACTTTTAATGCTCAGTCTTAAGGCTATTTATTGAAAAGCAGTCCTGCTAAAATCAGCAGAATATTTCCAGAATAAATTATCTTTTAGAATTCAATGTTAGAATGCACACATACGAATGAAGTCGTATTTCTCCATATATAAACCTACAACCAATTGTGTTTCATTCTCTGAAACTTATATTATATTTATATCAAATAATTGCAAAGAAAAAAGATTCAAATTCTTTTATATTTATTGACCTCCTATATGTCTATTGTTGACTGGCAGCCAACACAGAGTACAGAGATAAATCACATTCATAGCTATATTTAATATGTTAAACGTCGTTTTAATATCAGTAGGAAAACTTTAGTCTCATAATTAAGAAACTTACATAATTAGATTAAAGAATAAGTGTTTAATGGATTATAATTTAGCAAAGTATTTAAAATAAAAGTTCTGCTCAAATTCATTAGAAATTGTACTTTTGGTTTATAGTACTAGGTACAGATCCTCACACCTGTGTGCTATGGCTAGCTAGTAAAGAGGAAGTAATAGAAGTGATTCAAAAAAAATGCCATGTGGAAAAAGTAGATAAAAAATTAACAGTTTTGTCTTGTACATATGTAGTAAAAAAATAATCAAATCCATTATGTTTATTTTTGTCATAGTTGCAAGTAGGTTCATGCATGATTGTTACATAGATGACCAAATGTTGACGTTTTCTAACTTTTGCAAATGTAAAAACCTATCTATGCAGACGACAGGAAAAAATGTATCCATCATACCTCAAACACTGACAAATTTTAGGATGAAAGATTTGTATTAGGCAAAAATATCACTAATGTAATGGAAATCAATGTGGTACATCTACAAACTACCTTTCATGAGAACATTTAACTAATTAGTTCTAATTTATTTTTCCCCTTATACCAATTTAATGTATCTATCCAATCTTATTAAATCAAGAAAAAACTCACTGAAGCATTATATTGATGTTCAAAATCATGATGCTGTCTCAGACATACCATTTCTCAATCTACATTTGTTTTACTGGAAGTTGTTCTCTTCATTTTTTAAAATAAACAGTGTTACTGTTGTTACATTGCTTAGATCAGAACAACAAAACTGAAGTATCATTAATACTATTACATTATTTGTATATGCAATTTGTCCTTATTTCCAATTTGATTTCATTGCAAATTAAAATACTGATATATATATATATAGATATATAGATATATAGATATATATATACGTATAGGATCCTATACGTTTGTGTTCCCTTTATTTTTTTGAGCAGTGCATATATATGTATATACATACATATATATATATATATATATATATATATATATATATATATATAATTCTGAAATTATCCATTTAGTAGGCGAAACCAGCACTTGCCTTTTCAAAATTAAAAATTGTTTTGCTCAGTACATCTCATAACCAAGAAAATTATTTGGATTGCAGTCTAAAACCTCGGTCAAAAGTATACTCAAATATTAAAGCCAGAAATACATGGATTTCAATTCATTTACTTGAGGCCAGTAGAATTATGGCTAATTAGCATGGATTGGGGATTGCAGAAAGAAAACAAGTTTCCTTTCACTAAATAGAAATTTCATACAATTTTTTAGGTGAGTTCAGAGGTTCGGTAGAAAGCTTAGGATACATGTTACCATAATCACAAACCCTTTTACATTCAAGAATATAACTATAAAGCATTTTCCAGCTACATTTTTCAACAATTCTTATTACTGGCTTAGTCGCCTTTTCACAAATTTGCTAACTGAATTGTTTCTTAGAATAACTCCAGCATGCATTATTTTCCTTTTTTTTTTCAGAATTGATCTGATTCACTTTGATCTGCTTTTACCTGCCAAGAATCTTGCTGACACAGCCATGGCTGACTCGTAATTGCCTGGAGATGTCGCAAGGTCGAACACCTTGATGGGCAAGTTCCACAATCCTTTGGCGAACAACATCAGGCAGCGGCCGACCATTCACAAAAACACCCCCTAATTGATTCACTCCTCCATGTCCTGAAAGATACGGGGTGAAATAAACAATACAAGCAGAGAAAAAAATATATATCTTTGAGACTGTTTAGAAAATGCTTTAAAAAGGCTTCCTGCAGCTATAGCTTCCCCTCTGCCATTAAGCATTGAATAACTTCTTCATAAGAGTTTGGGCATTTCTGAAATGCTGGTTATGGTTTATTTGCTCAGAGGAGGAGGAACAATGTTATTTACTAAAACCTAATTTGACACTGATAGCAATTTTACACTTGTGTAACTCTAATTACTTCAATAATTACCCAGGATTATGTGGCATGAGATTCAGGCCTCCAATTTGAGGGGGTGGGGAAAATCTCTCAAAAGTTATTTTTAGGCCAGCCTGGAACTCATCTGGCACCAAAAAATTATGAATGATAGCCATCAGATTTAAGGTGTAAATCTGAAGCTAAAATTCTTAGCATGCTTGTTTTAATGCCATTAAATTAAATCAGATTTACTTGCATGTAAATATGTTTACAGTAAGTGTGTCAGTCTAACTTTGATGGTAAATAAAGCCAAACTATGCTCATCTCTGGAGGAAATAGGGCCAAATTTAGAAAGGTGGCTCCATGGATGGGGCTTCCAAAAATATTCTGTTTTTCTTTCAATATCGTAGCTCACTTATTAATGCCCTATATGAATGACTGTGTGGTTGGAATAATTTCAGATTTACATATTTTACAATGCCTATGAAAATAGTAAGGCACTATATTGCATGGCTCAGCAAGACAGGATTATTATTTTTTTCCTATATGTACATTTTCACTATTTTTTAATGTTGAAACATCTGGTGTAAAATGGTTTCCAACTAGATAAATAGTAGCTAACTGGATAAAACCAATAAGCATGAAATGCAGTGCCATGGAATAGTGAGAAAATATAATTAACTCTGAAATTGTTCATCAGACAAACTATAATAAAGAAGTAGCAATGTTGAACACAAATAATTGCAGGAGCCAGCATTATTGGCAATACTGAATAAAGTAATTTCTCTATTTACAGAAGGCTTGAACCGAACACAATCTACTAACTCTGCATTAAATAAAAATCTTGTTAACTATATCATCCATGTTTATTAAACTCAACAAAGTTACTATTGATAAACCTGACAGGGTCTGTATGTATCTTCCAAAACTGATATATAGTGAAAGTCCATTATTACTTGTTAAAGATTAATTTGAATAAGTAAGGTTAACTGAAAAATGGTGTTTTGCCCTGGAACTGAAGTTTAGCAAGTTTTGTGTTTATTGTTTTGCTTGAATTATTAATATTTTATTTGATCTTTAGAACATTGTCTAAGGAAGGAAAGAAGGGGTAAACCAAATTAAAAGTATACTTTGATAGTTTGTTAAAATAACAGAATGTTCAGGTACTGTTTTTACTATCATTAACTATGACTCTGATATTAAGAGAATTATTGTTCATTCTCTTAGATGCACAGTTTAAAAATCCCTCAAAATTGCTATGTCTTTGCAAAGGGATCACCAATTTCAGCTCATAGAAATGCACTGAAATATAACATTTATGGATTTACAAACTTCATTAGAACTCCAGCAATTTGGAAAGAAATTAATTTATCAGTTAATATGGACTGTATATTACTCTGAACTGGAAGTGTGCATAAGTTCCAGTTTTGTAGGTGAAACAGTTCATTGTCAAGGGAATCAATCTAGAGTTAGTGAAACTGCATCTCTTGGACTAGTTAAATAAGGCAAGGTAGGAAAGCTTTCCTCTAGCTTTCCAAAGCTAACAGACTTGCAGCCAGTAATATATTGCATTATTGCTGCAATGTATCAAAATATATGTAAATATAAGAGAAACAGGATAGGAAGTGGAGGAAGGGGGAGAGAAAGAGAGAAGCATAAAAACAGAGAGAAAATCCATTATATCTTGAGGTAGAACTTTCATTAAGGCTAGGGGGTGCTTTAATAATTCTACAATAATTGCAGTTCCTCTAAACAGCTCAGTCAGATCTGTTAATAAAAGATAGTAAACTGCTGCTGAACTGCTTAAAACTCAGCCAGTATTTGTGGGGTTTCAGCAGTTTTATATATTGTATGGAATTGTAGCCTAGCTGAATAAATCCGCAAAGCTCTATCTATGCTGAGATTTGCAGAAGCAAGTATAAAAGCTGAATTTCCAGAATTGCATATCTTAACTTTACCTTTATGGAAAAATAAGAAAATAAACTAAGGAGCACAACCCTAGACTAATGATAGTCAAATCAATGACCAAGTCTAAAAAAGCTGACATTCATACATAACCATACAATCCAGGGTACTTGATGTGTGTGGTGTGTGTATATCAAAAGGATTGTTACTCTAGCTTCCCAAACTCAGTCTGGTTTCAATAATTGAGGGAGGGAGGGAGGAGGGAAGGAGGGAAGGAAGGAAGGAAGGAAGGAAGGAAGGAAGGAAGGAAGGAAGGAAGGAAGGAAGGAAGGAAGGAGTCACTCTGAAAGAAGAGAGCAGAAAAGAATGCCAAGGAACTAAAACAAAACAAAAACACTATTGTCAGAGCTTCCTCTATTTTTTCCCATGAGCTGAATCTGCAGTTGCTCTCTGACATTAAAGGATAAAAATGCAAGTAGTGGCAAAAATATCTGCAAGCAAGCACAGGTAGATATGCTCTTCCAGAATTTGTGTGATTCTGAGCTCCAGATTTACACCGCTCATCTTTTTGCTGAAGAAGTATTTGGGATGGCAAGGGAATTACTAGTTCCAATAAAAAGAAACTCCCATCATCAGTGGGAGCTTTCCCTATAATCCTTTCCTATTATTACACAGAAATTCTCTCTTAGCAGATAAATGTCTTCAGTATTTAAAAGTAACACAGGGAGTGGAAAGAGGGGAAAAAAGATTTGATAGGTCAAACCTTCCTTGCTTTTAAGGAAGTAGCCCAGCACTTGAGAAAGAAGGCTAGAAGACATGAGGTGGGGGAATGTAGCTTACATTTCAACATGCAAGATAATCCAATCCAACTCAGTTGCATACAATGAAAATGGTTTCACTTCTATGAACAATTGATTTGTCCCAGAAAGAAAATCAGCTTGAACACTTGCAGGAACGAATTAGCTACTCCAAAAACTTCCACAGAAGAATCTGTGGGGCATGTGCTAGTGCTGCAGTGTGCCTGAGTGTGTGTGTGTGTGTCTGTGTGTGTAATTTTTTTTCAGGGTGTTAGGTTAGGTGCCACACAACATATTGGTGGTAGACAAAGATTTGTGTTGATTTTTTAAATGCTTAAAAGTTAAAGTGCTTAAAAATTACCTAATGCTCACATTATATATGCTTAATCAGTATGTATAGCTGAAGATATTGATATGAACATACAGTCATCTCTAAGATTAATATTTGTAACTTGTGCTTTTTTGGATCATTATCTTGTTAGTTAAATAATCTCCAAGACCCCAAGAAAAGATCACTGCAAAGGCATTAAAGAGGCCAGTTGTTCTTTGAGCCTTAAATTGTTTGAGTATATACATATAAACGCTGAAGTCCCTCTTGAAGGGTGAATACTGGAATGAGTGTCTACCGGGATGTGTGTGTGTGTGTGTGTGTGTGTGTGTGTGTGTGTGTGTATGAGTGAAAAATGAGTATATGTATTGTTTTGACACACTTCCATACTTTCCATAATTCTTAACACTCTTCTGCCTGTCTAGTCCAGTTTAGACAAGAAATTTTAGACATTTTGATCACTTGCAGAGTTCATCCTCAAGATTTTCCTGCTGTTATAAAATTCAGCTGACTCAGCACGTGATAATAGCAAACAAACAGCTTGATCTGTCTACTGAAAAATACCAAATTATTTCAATTTTTCCAAGCATTTCAGTTTCCCCCCCCCCAAAAAAAAACAAATATATGATAGGCGAGCAGAATTTACGTTTTGTTGGTGGTGAAAGCCGAAAGTGGATGTAACTGAGAGTCTGATTTGGAAACTCAACAACTCTTGGTATTTTGAGCAAACCATCACAGGGCAAGTCAACCGCAACCAAAATGTTGATGAAAGAACTAGCCCTAACAGATGAAGGAGGAGGACCTTAGAAAGATTATTAAAAGAGGTTTAAGATCTCTTTTCCTCATTGCTGACAACCGCCTAAGCTCTGCCCTGCTAACTGAAAAAAAAAACACGTTAGTTTTCCAGCTAATTCGTCTAGTAACTCCGGTGTGCAGAACGGCTGTTTACTGGCTTTCTTCATAGAGCAGGTCGAGGCGAGGCATTATGCCAAAAAGATCCACAGAGGGGGAAACGGACAGCCGAACGCCCCAGGAATCTCGTCTAAGATTCTTCTTCTATGGACAAGATGCTGCTAAATGGAGCCTTTCGCCAGACCTTTTGCTCTGATGCTTTTGATGGGGAGGAGGAGGAGGAGGAGGAGGAGGAGGAGGAGGAGGAGGAGGAGGAGGAGGAGGAGGAGGAGGAGGAGGAGGAGGAGGAGAAGGAGAAGGAGAAGGAGAAGGAGAAGGAGGAGAAGGAGAAGGAGAAGGAGAAGGAGAAGGAGAAGGAGAAGGAGAAGGAGAAGGAGAAGCCCTTAGATTTGTTTTTCCCGCAAAATCAAATACGTGCCGCGGTTGCCTCTGCCTTAACTCTGACCGGGAGCGAGATTTTTTTTTTTCCCCGAAGATTGCCGGGGGCTTTTGCGCGTGACTTTTAAAGCGGGCGTGTGCGTGTTTCCTTTACAAGCAGTTGCCCCTTGTTTAAAGGGTTCAGATCAAACGCTCTCTTCACTTCCAGGGAGTTGTTAGTAGGAGACAGGCGGAAGAGAGGGCAAACCTTTATCCGGAAGACTACGGTTGGTTTTAAAGCCAGCTTTTTCTGCAGTAAATCGTTTCTTTTAGAGACGGGGTTAGTATGTCTAGGGAGTTGCCGGGACGTTTCTGCGCCTCCTATTATTTTTAAGCGTTTTCTGACAAGGAACTCAACGTGGCAATGCTGTACAGTCAACGACTACATGCCGCGTTTTCATCCCCTACCTGCCACTTTTGGAAAAAACAACAACTTGCTATTTCTCCCCTACACACGCGGGGAGAGAAAGGAGATATTTAAATAACTACCATGAATGCATTGGGGTTGGGAGGGGGGGAAAGAAGTATAAAACTCAGTTTGGATTGGATGCTCTTTCCCCATCCCCCCCTCAACTGACACACACGCTTTTTCCGGTTTGTTTTTGTTGCCCTTACATTCCTGCAGAAGATATCGATTTATCATTGTTTAGGTTAATGGAGGATCCTTCCCCCCCCCCCGCAGCTTGTGCACTCACCCTCTCTTCAAGTTAACACAAAGGAATTTCCTGAGGGGAGGGAATGGCAGGCAGTGGGAACATTTCTGTCCCCATATTTTAAATAGGAAAATGATATTTCCCTACAGTTAAGATGCCTCTCATAAAATCCCCAAATCCTTTTTGGTTCTGTTTGGTTTCGGACAAGCATTTCCTACATTTTCAGCCACTGCCACCCAAGTAGTTATCTCTCCTCTGAAGGTGAATTATGGTACACAGTCGCCAACAGTTTCACATTTGAGTTCTCTGTCTTGTGCTTACTCTGTGTACCCAATGAGGAAGCACGGAATGGTTTCGTGGAGCAAACAATTAGGCAGACAAATAGACAACACAAAAGAACAGTTGTCTTCCTCAAAAGCCTGCTATAGATAAGAGAAACGTGTTTGATTCTCTTCCTTGAAATCTCTGGATCTAATCCAGCGTTTAACTCACCGTGAGAGACGGTGTCATTTCTCATAACCCTGTGTTAATGAAAAATCTCCTTCCAACCTTCTCAGGCAAAGCGAATCCCAAGCAAATATATTATCCACGGCCGCTAACAGCCGAGTCCAAACATATAAGGCTATTTTTAAAACACGCCATTTGTTGTTACCGTGAGAAGGAGAAGCAGCAGCTTTAGCAGCTCTCGTCGCTTTAGAGCCCACGCTCAGGAAACATCAACAATTTTGCACACTTTTTGGTTTAAAGTGCTTGATGTATTCAGGAATATTTCAAAGATTTCTTAGAAGGGCATTCAACTCAGCTGGACCGTAGTAACCCTATCTACTAGCATTAATTTGAAATATCTTTTTTTTCCCATTATATCCATGCAGGCGGACTAATTAAGAAAAATATACATATTCCAGCTGAGCGACTTGAACTTTGTAAGAGGGCGAGAGCCGGAGAAAGAGCAGCAATGGGCAGACACAAAGAATCGAAATGTAGGGAAGAAAAATAAAAAATATGTTGAATGGGGGGGGGAGAAGAAAGGGAAAGGAAACACAGGGTATAGGGAAGGCTCCTGCATTTGTTCAAATAGTACTAAGTACAAAGGTAGCTGTACAAATGTAAGGTTGATTTGAAATCAGTGCGACTTACTTGCCGGCAGATATCTTTAACTTGCCCCGGATCTCTTTTCTTGCTCTAACAATAATTAATCTGGCTGGAGATATTTTTAAGGCCGCCAGGTCCTAGAACCCGCGAATGAGTTTTTTTTAAAAAAAAAAATTAAATCAATGTAAACCCACTCTGGTCGAAGTCCCCCAGATGGGTAGAGGAGGAGGAGTTACAGCGCACGTTTAAGTTTAAACCCTCCCATGGAAATCAACTGAGCTTTGCAGCCTTCGCCTTTGACCGGATCGTGTCCTCAATAACGCTGCATTACTTAAAGGGCAGCGGTGTGCCGCGGTTTACGCGAGAAGAGGGTGCGCGAGGCGTTTTGGTTTGGGTGCGGTTTAGTTCGGGTTGGTTTCTAAACTCCTTGGAAATCGCCTGGGGAATAAGCCGCAGTTGGAGAAGGAGGATGCGAGCTGCCCGCGCGGCCGGCTCCAGCCTCCTGAGCTGGCTCGGAGGAGCCGGTCCAACGCCGCTGTGCCTCCTCTCCAGTGATGCCCAAAGGTGTCTCAGCTCCAGCAGCCTTCCCTCTTCCCTCCCTCCCTCCTTTCCACTCTCTCTCTCTCTCTCTCTCTCTCTCTCTCCCTCTCTCCCCTTTCTCTTTCTCTTTCTCCCTCCCATTTCAATAAACAAATACTCCGGGCTTGTGGGGAGCGCGGCGAAGGCACGGCGGCCAGCTTGGTGCCGAAAGGCAGAGGGGGGAGAAAAAAAAACCCGGAACCAGCCGCCTCTACTTACTATGCATCGCTGCAAACGGGTCGTGCTTACAGTGTATTTCCATCTGGGCTGGCGATCCAGGCTGCTCGAGGCAAGCTGAGCCGGTGGGATTTTTGTTTTCGCTTTCAGAGCAGGTTAAGTTACACTCCTTAGGATCACTTGTCTTGCCCGGGGACTGGGCGCTTTATTTACAAGTGTTGCTTGTAATAAATGTGTTCCTTTTTAAAAATAAAAATAAAAAAAGGAAAGGGGGGGGGCAAAAAGAAAAGAAAAGCCCGAAAGACACGGCGGGATTTCAGAGACAAAATCTCTCTCCAAGCTAAGAGCAAAGAACCACAAAAATCCTCGGGGAAGTTATTCCTTTCATACGGAAGGGGCTTGGGGGGGGACTCGGGTTGTCTGGGCGCCACCGGCAAGGCTGGCTGGCTTGAATCTTCGTCGTCCCCCCCTTTTACCCCTTCCGAGCTCGACCGTCCCCCACCCCAAAAGATCGTCTCCGGTTAGTTTCTCTGCTCGGGGGCAGCAGCGGCGCCTTTATTCCCCCCGCCTCCAGAAGGAGAGAGCCATGGATCCGGTCTTGTGGTCGGAGGGAAGACCCTCCCCGGGAAGAGCCCAGCCAACGGAGATCTTCCACGGCGAAGCAAGAGAGACAGGCAGGGGCCGAGCACCTGCAAAGCAGCTATTCCCAAGCTTTATCCCGGGTGGGGTGGGTGGTAGGGAGGGGAGTCACTTTTCAGTATTCATTCATCCATCCATCTTTCTTTCTTTTCCTTTCTTTCGGACGAGAATCAGAGTGGCGTCTCCGGCGAAGGCAAGGCTAGCTTAGGGGACGAGGAAAATGCCCTGGGTCAGTCTTTGTTTGAGGAGTGGCGGTGGATTGCCGGGCATGTACGGCTCTCCCCTCCCCTCCCCTTCCTCCTTCGCCTTCTCTTCTTTCCCCTGCCCGGCTTGCAGCCCCGGCCGGAGGCGATCAGCTCAGCCGAGCCTCAGAAGAGAGCCGAGGAAGAGAGGCGGTTTCTTTCCCGAAGTGGAGGCGGGCTGTGGATAACTGCCTCCCAACCCGGCGGGGGTCCCAAGTCTGGAAGAAAAAAAAAGGGAGGCAAAGTCCGTTTGGCCCCGCCACCTCTGCTTGTTGGAGGGCAGGGGCTAGGAGCGCCGTGGCAGAAGAAGTTGGCGGGAAGTTGCGCTTGGAGAGACGCCAAAGGAGACGAGGAGAAACCGGCGGCGGCGGCGGCAACAGCAGCAGCAGCAGCAGCAGCAGCACAAGCGTGCCAGCGGCATCCCCGCCGCGCGAGAGAGAGAGCGCGAAGGAGGGAGAGAGGCGTGTTTTGCTTGTGGCGCGCGCCACGCTTTCTACCTCACGCGCCTTTCCGCTCGCGCTTAAAGTTTGCCTCTCTCTCCCCTCCGGCAGCCAGTGCGGGGCTCCCCGCTGCCCGGCAGCGCGCGCGTCTACGCGCGCCTAAGCGCGCGCCCCGGCCTCGGCTGGCGGAGGGTGCTTCCCCTCACCCGGCGCGGAAAGAGAAGCCGGCGAGCAGGTAGAGACCGGCCGGCTCCGACTTGTCTACATGTGTGGGTGAGTGGGTGGGTGGGTGCGCGCTCGCTCATATGTCTCCACCTGGCCGGTTAACGCGTGAGGGTGGCGCCAAATGACCTCCTCCCCCCCCCGAGCGGGCGGGCACACGGGGGCGCGCACGCGCGCAGCCCCCACCCCCCACCCCACGCATCCGCGCGCGCACACGCACACACACACACACACACACACACACACACCTGGGCACTCAATACCCCAGGGCGCCTCCCGAATCCCTGCAGTTGCTTTGGTTCCCTCGCGCGGTTAGTTCGGCCCGCCTCTTTCAGAGAGTAAGAAAGCGCTTCCCGGGAGCAGCTTTCAGGACCGGCGGCATGTGGACAGCGGCTGCGGGGGTTCTTTGGCGGCAGGGGAGCAGGAAGTAGGGCGGGAGGAGAGCCGCGGCCTCCGGGCTGGCCCGTCACTCAGTGCCTCGGCCTCCAATCAGAAAAGTAAAGTTACGGCCCCGCGCGCATTGGCTGCGGGGTTGGGGGACGCCGGGGAGAGGGCGAGCGGTGGAGGCGGCCCCTGATTAGCCAGCGGCGGAGCAATCAGGGACGGCTTGAGGCGGAGCCCGCGAGCGGGGAGGATTCATTGACAAACTAGAGGGAGCGCGGCTCGTCTCTCTGGGTGCGTGGATGTGTGGTTGTTGCGCGCGCGTGCACCGAACCCCTATCCTGTCGGTTCGTGGCGGGGGGTGGGGTGGAGGGAAACGCAACTGGCATGGGTTGTGCATCGAGCGATAAAGACAACGACAGCCCTGCTTTATGCTGTATAGGGGGAGAAAATGGGAGAGGGGGCAGATTATTCCCAAGTGGCCATGCTGAGGATTGCAACCCTGAAACGGGATGCCACGCGTGTTCACTTGGAAGTAAGTGTCACTGGGTATAACAGACCGATCCCCAAAGATTGTGGCTTCTCGGTGCAACACTGGGAACGGGCACACAACTAGTACGTAGGAAGAGTGGTGTGTATAAAGATGCACGCTCCATCTGCTGGGAAGCGGAGAAGGGTTTGGCGGCAGCGATAGGAACACCCTGGTGCTTGCCCCAATCACATCGGGGAAATCTAGTTAGTCGGAGCCACGTACTTTCCACGCCAATGGGCTCTCCTAGATGAATCTAAGGAGCCTGGTCTTTTTTTTTTTTTTTTAATCCCACGCGCCCAACAGAAAGCTGTTCATTAACCTTTTAATGCGTTCAATAGTAAGTCAACAAGGGTAGAACAACCACGATTAACGCTAACGTGCAATGCATAGGTGAATATGGCCTTAGAAACCGACCCGCGCCGCTGAACTGCCTGCCTGCAGAAGAATGTGTCGTGACTGGTGTGCTCTCGGTGAAAAGAAAAAATAGGATCCTGTGCTTGGGATCCCAAGCGCTTTGAGTGAAGACGATGGGGCTGCGTTCGGAGTGAACCTCATCATATTCTAAGCCCGGCAAGCGCACGTGTGAACGGAGAGGCCCGCTCGCACATGAGAGCGTGTTACTGCTGCTGCTGCTGCTGCTGCGCCTTTTTTTTTTTAACCAGGAGATGAAGATCTTCACTCTCGATCCGTTCTGGATTTGCGTTTCTTCGGTTCCCAAGAAAGAGCGACGCCTGTGAACCTTCTGGTGGGCTCCAGATTCCGGGCCGTGGAAGATGCAGAGAGTTCTACCGGAAGATTTGGCTTTGGGGACTTGAAGTGGTTTACTTTATCCCGGGGCTGGAAAGTTATTTTGCAAGCCCCCCAAGCCCTTCGTTATTTTCGGCTGATTCATCCGACCTCCTTGATTTTTGTCCTGGACTTGCCCTCAGCTGGCCAGAAGGCCGGCCTCCCGCGCATTTTCAGGCTGCTGTAGCCGCTGAACTGGGGCGCCGAGGCGGAGAGGACGATGTAAATGCCCAGGATACAGGAACGGGCTTGCAGAATTGTCTCTTGAATCTGGTTACCGAACTCCTACTCCTCAAATAATGAAAGAAAATTCAATCCGATTTCCATATATATATATATTACATTCTGCTTTTCAATTAAAAAAAAGATGGGGACCCAAATGATTTTGGGGATTTTTAAACATCATCTGACTATTGTTTCTCAAAAGGACACCTATATAACAAGGCGGACCGAAGTGCTCTTTTTATAAAGTAGGCCTCAAAATGAAAAAAAAAAAAAAAAACCCGAGATTAAGTGTATGAAATAGAAGGTATGGTCCTTCTACGTAGTAGGCTGGCTTTTTAGAACCAGCACTGAACTCCTGGCTAAAAGCTGCTCTAACCCGTTTCCTTTCCTTCCTAAAATATATAAACCAGAGAGAATTTCTGCTACAGGACAGAGGCGAATATCCTTATTTCTGGATCACCGCAGATTATGGAAGATGTGAGCAGCTTCCCTTAACAGTTGCTACTATTATTAACCTCTGCATTGGTCCATGTATGCTCTCGGATATGCATGTATGTGTATGTGCGCCCGTATGAAGCCAAGCGAAGAATCTTGCCTTCAAGGCGGCTGGTATCTCGGGAGAGAGACATGATGGTTTAGGCAAGAAATAAGTCTACCTGCAAGCAAAAAGCAATAATTGCTCGTTCGACAGCGTCAGAAACCGGCTTCCGGGGTTGAAGTCTTTTGAACGAACCGACTTCCAAGGAGGGGAACTTCAGATAAAAGCAGTGTTAGGCTTATATACATAAATACATACATTTGATAAAAGGCGCTTGATATTGTCATGAGAAGACCGTGAATACAATTCAGAGGCAGACATTTTCTTCCAGCTGTAACTAAAACCATTACAGGACTCTGATTTAATAACCCATCTAGAGAGAAATCCTGGCAGCCACGTGATTCCAAAAATCGCGCTGTTGGCGCCTATATCCCTGTCACGTGTCCAAATTCTACCTGTACAGAATATTGACAGGAGCGTTATTTATCTGGAAGGTGTGCTTCCCTTCGTGCTCACGCCTTTACACAAGCCTTGAGCCAACCAAGAGTGCCAGACTACTGTGTGGAAGACACTATAAATTTAGGCTTTCTCAGAGCACCGTAGTTAAGTCGAACTGGACAAGTTAGAGGCCTGTTTGAGGAAGGAGTCACCGTGAATCGCTCCCTTCCCCCCCCCCCCGCCGCTTCTTTCGAATAATTACCAATTGGCTTGGTCAGATCAGCCACAACTCACTGAAGTCAAGCAAAGAAAACACCAACAGATGCTGAGGAAGGTGGATCTATCTGTTGGTACACAGAGGTTCTCCTTGATTCAGAAGGCGCTTTACACACATAAGGGCACACACCCTCCTCCCAGGACTTTCTCCAGCAGCTGTTAGGTGGGCGCCTCGGCAGGGCTTCTTAGCAGATAATCCGCGGCTGGATTTCTTGGCCCGTCCCTCTGCACGCAGCCTGGTATCCTCGCCAAAACACCTCTGAAAAAACAACCTCCTAAACGAGGATTCGCCGGGGCCAACCGAAGCCGCGAGAGAAGCCGCCCAGCAAAGCCTCCCAAACAAACCCAGCGGTAGCCAGTATCCTACCTGAGGCTCTTGGGCGAGCTGGTGGGCGATAATTCGGTCAAGCGGGCAGGAAGAAAATCTCAGAGAAAAGAAATGGGCCCGGCCTGCGTGCCAGTCATTGCCTGCCTTCCCCTCCTTTTGGCTGGGCTTCCACCCGGGGAAGGCCGCGCCACGGGATGCCAGCCCTGGAACTAAGAGCTTAAATAGACCTATCAACCTACACATTACCCCAAAGAAGCGCCCGTCTGTCCCTACCTAGTTAGATGGCTCTTTACTACTGGGGTGACTGACCAACCAGCCAACTAAGAAAGCGCTTCTCCTGCTGTCCACCTCCTGCTGAGTGGCGGATCCCTAAGGTCTCCTGGCTAAGAGCTTGCTGGACATGCTGTGCCTCCGGATTGAGGTCAGCCCCCGCCACACCGACCCGCGAGGGCCGGGCGGCTCTGACGCCCCCCCCCTTCCTCTCAGGGTTGGCTTCCTCGACTCCTTGTTTCCAGAAGGAGTGTCTCCGCCAGACAGGCTTTAATCGCCCCGTGGGGTTGGCCACTGGCCAGGGAAGGACTGGTGGTGTGGATGGGGGGGGGGAATCAAGCTGCCTTTCTCAACGGCGCCTAATCTGAGAGCGACCTCAAGGGAAAGTGGGCGACGAGCGGCTGTTTGCTTCCCTAAAGAACAGCGCCGCGCGTCTCTTCGCTCTCGTTCCCCGCCGCCACTCCTTGCGGAGACTCTCCCGAACGCTGTTGGACGTCTGAAGAATCCTGAGGAAGTCAAGTCCCTTGGAGTTCCAAAGGCAACCTTCCGAACCGGCCTTGCAAGGCGCACCCTCTTCAGATGCTTCCTGGCCAGGAGGCTGAGGGGATGGCCCTTGCAGCCCTGCTCCCTGAAGAGGGTCAGCTGGGGAGGGGGAGGCTAATCTTGCGCGCCTTTCGGATTGCAGCCCCGAAGGAACTTGCCTTAGGCGGCAAAAGACCACGTCTTTAGGGAAGGAGAAAGCTGGGAAGGGGAAAGGAGGGGGCGATTCTTGGAGCCCGGAGAACAGTTACTGCTTACAACACTGTATTTGTTTCGGAGGGATGTCAGTGCAAGGCCTGGAAACGGTTAGGAAAGAGTTCTGGGAGTTGGTTGGATCCTGTTTTAGATGTTTGCCTTTATTCCTAGAGAAGACTGCAGAATGCACCTCTAAGACAGATCTATCGCGCTTGGAGAGTAGACCTCGGACTGATGTTATTTACAAATAAGGACAATGCCTTTCTTTCGGGATCATCATCATCATCATTATCATCATCCACATATTATTAGGCACAAGCAAATAGAATAGAATGGCATCCGCATATTAACATATATAATA